ATTTTTTCTCTTTTTTTTCCTCTTTTCTTTCAATTGTGGTTATTTGTTGCCCAAAATTCCCCGTAGACCCCCGTATTAAAACGGGGTCGGGTTGCTATTTCCCGCAACAAGACTCTGGCCTTCAACATAGTCTCGTCTGGGGATCCTCTCTGCCCAGAGGCAGGAAGTTTGACCAGCACTGCTGGAGAGGAATCTCCAACTGCAGGATATCTACGAACCACCCGACGCGTTCAAATGTGGCACAAGGACAAATTTAATGTGGGGTGTCCAAGCCTGTAGGCTCGGCCAACAATTCTCCGGAGACCTCTTATAAAAGGGTGTCGCGTAGCTGTTTCCCGAGACAAGACTCTGCCCTTTGCTTATATCATACGTCATCTTTTATCTCATGTTTCAGTTTTATTTGATGCTTAATACTTTATTTGTTTTTGCCTTAGTGCTATATATTGAGGTAATAATTATAGTGAGGTTTGGTTTGCTCGTTTTTAGTTGTTTGTGTGTGTGTATATATGTGTGTGTATGTGTTTATATGTACATGCACACGTATATAGGTATATATTTAATATTTGTTCCTTTATTTATTTATTAACAAATAATTGTATTAAAGTTTATAAGATATTATTTCATTTATTTATTTATAGTTTATATTATACGAGGGTCATTCAATAAATAAGGTGAATTTTTCGGTATAAGGACTTCTAATACAGATAGAAGCTTACTTTTTTTTACAACGTAGTCTCCCAGCACTGTCACACACTTTTCCCATCTGTGCACAAGGTTCCGTATTCCCTCAGCGTAAAAATCTTTGGACTGATGTCTCAGCCAGCCGCTCACAACACTTTTGACTTCATTGTCACTTTTAAACTTCGTGCCTCTCGTGAACGCTTTTAAGGGACCAAACAGGTGAAAGTCTGAAGGGGCAAGGTCTGGGCTGTAAGGGGGATGAGGGAGCAGTTCCCAGCCCAGCTCGTTAATGGTCTGCACCGTCTGGGCTGCTGTGTGAGGCCTTGCGTTGTCATGATGCAAGATGACTCCTTCTGACTGATGACCCCTGCGTTTGTTCTTTATGTCTTCCTTGACCTGCCTCAGCAGTTCACAGTAGTTCTTCTGTCAGACTGAATGAGGTCATTGCCTGATTCGATCACCTCAGAAGACCTCACCTCTGTAGGCCTCTCAGGCCTGTCTTCATCCTCAACACTGCTCCGTCCTTCTTTAAACAATTTAGCCCACTTGTAGACATTTTTTTGGCTGAAACATGTGGCACCATACACAGTTGATATTCTCCTTTGAATTTCAACTGGTTTGCACCCTTCAGCAACCAAAAACTTGATAACTGACCGCTGTTCAATCCTGGAGCATGCTTCTTGGTCGGCCATCTTTGTTAATCGTCAAAACTCTCAAAGTTTTTTTTTTTTTAATCTGCAAAAGAAATTAAATCCATGTGAAAAAGAAGTAAAACAACACAAAAAAATAAAAGCAAAAAAAAAAAAGTAAGCTTCTATCTGTATTAGAAGTCCTTATACCGAAAAATTCACCTTATTTATTGAATGACCCTCGTATTTAATGGATGTATTTGTTTATTTTTAATTAGTGCTTAGCAAAGTAAGTATTTATTTATATGTCTACATTTAGCCATTGTTTCAGTTTTCTTGTGTAAGAGTTTATTTTGGTTTTAAAAACTAATTATTGCTAATTTTTCCTGTAAGCATAATTTACAATTTTTACTGTTAATACTGTATAGGGCAGCTCTTTTTATAATTTCGCATTTGATTTTGATGGGGAAATTGTTTTTTTTTTTTTTTTTTTTTTTTGACTCCATATGTGTTTTGATAGGGTTGTATTGTTTGTGTATTTTTTCTTTCCAAGGACATTTTGTGGTTATATCTTTCATTTTTTTCTGTTGCACCTATGTAAATTTTCTCGTCTGTGTCAATGCTATTAGTTATGATAGCTTTGTAAATTATGTTATTGATTAAACATTTATTGTTAAATGGGCAACTTTCTTTGTTTCTCCAGTTACATTCAATAGTATTATTTTGCTGCATGTTTTATTGTTATTATAATTGTTATTGGTTTTGTTGAGTATTTTTTTATTGTGCTTAGTTATTATTTTCTCCATATTATTCATTCAGCTGTAACTAATTTTGATTGTATTTTATTGATAATTTTTCATGTCTTTCTGTTTTTAGAGAAGTTTTTGTCAATGATTTTGAAGAATATTTTCCCTATGTTTTGTATTGTTGTAGTGGAAAAGTGTGAACCAAATTATGTTACTTTTTCTGTTGTTCTTATTTGAATAGTTTTCATGTTTTGTGCTCTAGTCTGAATATCCGCTCTTTCTGAGAATTGATTCATGCGTTTTTTGGTTTTCAATGAATATTTTTAAGCCACTAGAATTTGTTGAGATTCTTTTATTTATAGATATGTGTATTTATTTGAATACGTTAGGGGGATGGTTGGAATTAATAGACCGTCGTCTCTGTATAGACCAATATCTTTTTTTTTAATAATATTATTTGTTAATTCATTGATTATATATACCTATGATCTCGCATAATTCTGTACATATTTTTATTGTGGTATAATATAGATTTTCAACAGTGCTTAATTAGATTTATGTGTTCATTAGGAATAGTATATATATATATATATATATATATATATATAAGAAAAACAGACCACTTTAAGGTAACATTACAATAATTTATTTCACCAGAGTCCTTTTAAAAGAACCCCGGATCATCACTTCCAACAACGAAATCAATTGTTGAAAGTGCTATCTGATGATCCGGCGTCCTTTTAAAAGGACTCTGGTGAAATAAATTATTATAATGCTACCTTAAAGTGGTCTGTTTTTCTTTTAAATATTAGCTCTGGTTTTACATTGAGCTCTCAGGATTTCATCCTCCTTGGGATTACCCATGCAGATTACCAAGTTCTTCCTAACTTATATATATATATATATATATATATATATATTATTGAAATTTTTCTTAATGTATATTGCCTTGTTCTATGATTGTATGTTCCGTTGTTTAGGTTGAAGGATATATTTGAGAAATTTGCTATTTTTTTCATTGGATTTCATATCTATTGTAAATCCTAGCATTTGAAGATTTATTATTTTTTGTCATATTTTTTCTGTAGTTCTACCGTTGCAATTTCTTAGAATTAATAGACCATTGTCGCTGTATAGACCTATATCTTTTTTATTAATAATATTTGTTAATTTATGGATGATATATATGACTAGGATCTCACATAATTCTGAACAATTATAACTAATTATTGTTACATCAAAGTTATTATTATTATTATTATTATTATTATTGCCATTTTTTATCCATATTTTTATCGGGTTATATAATTTTTGTCTTCGTTAGGGATAGATAGATAGATAGATAGATAGATAGATAGATAGATAGAAATTATTAGGAGGATTTGATAATTATATTTAATTAATTCATCGCGTCTGATAGAAACCTCACCAGAATGCAGAAAGCACTGGACGGCCGTTTCGTTCTATATTTGGGACTTATCAGCAGTGCGCATCCACTACCGAGAATTGAAACCCTGACGAAACGGCCGTCCAGTGCTTTCTGTATTCTCTTGAGGTTTCTAACAGACTCGATGAATTATATATATATATATATATATATATATATATATATATAATTATTTTAAAAGAAAAATTTTTATAACATAAATATGTTTATAAAATCACTACAAAAATAGCAATTTTGTTTCAACACCCCTGGTGTCTTATTAAGTGATGATGTTGAATGTAACTCAACATCATCACACCAGATAAGACA